CAAATAAATAAGAATAGTGAAAAGAAAATATAGAATAATAAATGCAAAAAAGTTCGGAATTTTTCTTAAAGGAATTAAATTAATTTAATTTATAAAAAGAAATTGTTTCGACCGGCTGGTTATAAAACAATACCTGTTATATCATTTATAGAAACAGACCGAGTACGCGCAGTTTATGATTGTATTTTGAACCATTTTTTAACTATTTTCAATCTCAATCAGTATATAACAATTTACAGTAACTATTAAAAACATTTAAGCCACCAAAAATATCTTGTTAATGAAAATATTAATCATAAAAACTTTTACAAATCAGGAACACCATCAAAAATGCAAATTAAATCCAAGAAAAGTTTATCACTAATTTAAAAACAAGTCATAACATTCTTTTACTTTAAAAAACATCCTTTCTTTTATGAAAAAAATCAAATATTTTTTAATCAAAAAAAGTTTCCGTTTGTTTAACCCCATCTCCCAATAAATCATTTAACCTAAATTAAAAGAATTTACCGATTGAAAAAAGTTAATTACCCAATTTGTCCTTCATAATTCAAATCTTTATTCTATAAATGTTGTTTACTGACAAACCACAAAATAGTTGTTATGACAACGAATAGTTTACTTTCAATAAGAAACGGAGGTAAGGGGCTTTTAAAGTATTGAAAGGCGAGATTAGCTATTTCTTATGCCAGAAGCATGATCTACTTCTTTTTATTCATGACAAGAATTGTTCGACTGTCTTACGTTTGATAGACATTCTCCAGAAGGGGCTAAAAGTGCTAAATATTTCTTTTAAAAGCTTTACTACACGCCCATTATAAAATGAAAATGGTATGTATTTCGTTTTATGTTTAGCTTTTCGGCAGCTTTTATTGGCTAAAGTTGTTCATTTTTTAGTTTTTGTTCGCCATCATTGTCATTTGACTAGATGAAATGGTGTTACCGAACTTAAATCGCAAAAAAATGTGAATAATTAGCGGCGCAGCTTCATCTATTGGGATTTTTCATCAATATTATTGATTCTTAATTAGTTATAAAACGTCTCTTTCTTTTTCAGATTGACCTATTTTGAAAAAAGTTTTCGTAAAAGATTTTTGCAAAATAGTTGCGAGAATTTCTAAGATAAAAAACTTTCCTTAAAAATATTTTACAATTAAAAAATAATAATAAAATGAAGCTTTTTATGTGCAAGAAAATGTAATGAAACATTAATAATTTAAGTGTTTTATTATTTTTAAGTCTTATTTATGTTAAAAGTCTTAAGTCTGTTAATTTTCATTCGGCTTCTCTTTGTTCATGACAAGAATTGTTCGACTGTCTTACGTTTGATAGACATTTCTCGAAAGGAGCTAAAAGTGCAAAATATTTCCTTTAAAAGCTTTACTATACACCCATAGAGAAGTGAAAATGGTATGTATTTTCGTTAGCATTTTGGCAGATTTTTTCGGGCAAGTTCTTCATTTTATATTTTTTCGTTCACCATCGTTTTTCTTTGAGTAGCTAAAATGCTGTTACCTTAAGTAGCAAAAAATGTGTATAATTAGTGGCACAGTTTCGTCTCCTGGGATTTTTTCAACAATATTATTGATTCCACATTAGCTAGAAAACTATTTCTTTTCAGATTGACCCATTTTATAAAAAAAATTACGAAATAGTTGAGCAAATTTCTAAGACAAAGAACTTTTTTTTAAGTATTTTTCAATTTAAAATAAAAAAATTAAATTAAATTTATAATGTGTAAGAAAATGTAATGAAACATTAAAAATTTGGATGATTTTTTAATTTTAAATCTTTGCTAATTTTCATTCAATTTCTTTTTTAGATTGCCTAAATTTTTAAAAGATTTTCAGAAAATGTTTGTGATAAATTCCAGAAAAAAAACTTTCCTTAAAAATTACTCATATCAAAAATAAATTGAATATTTAAGAAAATGTAGTGAAACATTCAGAATTAAGGTTTTTTGTTTCATTTAAGTTCATAAAAGACTTGTATTTTATCATTGAAAATTGTTTTCATTTTCTGAAAACAATTTTATTCATCTGTAAATTCCTTAAAATTATTTAGATTAAGTGTTACTTCCGCTAAACTGATAATTTGATTAATTAATTACAATTACTTAGTTTACATTATAGTTTTGTTTTATCACAAACTGTTTGTTTTCTTTATTTTGTATAAAAATTCTTACCAGAGTTGAAAAAAAAATCTTTTTATATTGGTTTTGTCAATGTATCTAAAGTGAAGCAACTAAGCACTTAACACATTAATCTGTCTAACATCCACATAAATTGGGCATGAACATATTTACACGGAATTTGCTCAAAAATTATTGTTTTTAAAAAGTAATAAATATGGTTTTAACTTAGTTATAGTTCATATTTGTTACACATCTACTTTTTTGCATTAACTGCATCAAAATTGTTAAAAACATATACGAATTACTCTTGTGTAATGTATAATATCAATAGTAATGAGATTTATAATAATATTTTAATCGAAATTTTATTGATTAGAAAATAAACAATTTTAACTCAGATGATAAAAGCTATTACATTTTCTTTGAAAATATTTTATAAGTATTCAAAATCCTAAAATCTGAATTTTGACAACTGTTCAAGGAAAAGATGGGCCTGAAAAAAACAATAAGGTTGCGAGAAACTTGGTCTGGTTTGCCATTTCTGTGCATTTTTTCATTTTTAAAGAATCTTGAAACAAAATTAACAAAAGAGAAATTATTCTGTTTGTCAATGCTTGAGTCAGAATAGAATGAAATTACATTTATGAGCTTTTTTTTTAATTTATGAATAACTGAATTGAATTTATCCGCAATTTTAAAACTTAATTTTACTTAAATAGGTTATGAACCACTTAATTGACAATCGATTAACTTTATTTTATTTTACAAGCTTATAAAACTCCTCTGATAAAAAATTATAAAAAGAAATTAACTAATGGAATTTCGTTTCGAAAAAAGGAATCGTGCACGTGTATTTCTGTCAAAATCGTCAATGTTTTCAAGTTTTTTCTTCTTTGGTGAATGCGTTACATTTTAGTTTCATACTGTCGGAAGATATTAAAAACAGAAGCTCTACATATCTCAGTTGCATGAGCTGCACGTTTCAATGCATCCGACATTTCAACATCAGGATTCGATTCCAATTCAACTTTATTTATAGTATTTTTTTCTGAGCTTTCTTGAAATGTTATTTTTTTGACGTTTTTTTATAGTTCTAAACATAGAATTACTTTCGATCTCCATCGTTGTACCAGTCTAAACGTACTAAATACAATAAAAAAGGTAACAAATATTTGACGTCCGTTTAGCGCCACACCAAACACGTGATGGACGTCTCCAAATGATGTACTTTTTTTACTCCTAAACCAATTTCATTTCTTATATGGAAGAATTTTGGGGGGAAATTTTGGCCAGTGGGGCCAGATGTGGTATTTTTAATAGTGGCCACTTTATAAATCATGTGGCCACTTTTTTTAAAAACTGAAATTTTCAAACTGTAATTTTAAGAAAAGAGTAGACATTAAATGATGTAGGACGTATCTCCTTAAGCATTTTTGAAATAAGGTAAACATTACATGCACACGATGTGCATTTTCGGGGAAAAACGTAGTGATCGGGTGGCGACTAAAATGTCATTTTTAATCGCCACTTATTATATTTAGCTGCTCAGTAGCCGATAGCAACTAGTACTTTTGTCCAAGTTTTTCTGATAAAACAAAAATTGCAAAATCTAGTATTTAGGAATAATAATTAAAAATAATTTAAGGTAATTTTTAAAAAAATTAGGTACAGTGTATTCCCTGTTTGCTACTGCTCGTAATCCTCAAACAATTGTTATCCATTTCGTTTCGTTTCTTTAATCTTATGGGTCAATTAAAAGTATAAGTCTGTCCAATAGGTTTTCCACAAGGTCTGCCAAATAGTTTCTAGCAACAACTCAATATCATGATTTAATTCATTTGTCACTTTGCGAAATTTTTCCCAATTCACTTTTTTTCAGCTACTCTAATAACGGATGAAGTTCATTTGACTTTATTCTTAATGACAGTGAAATTTGAATATCAAACTCCTCTTTTAAATATTTTTTCCGCACATAAACTGGACATTATTTTACATGTTATTCATTGAACCAATAACACTACTATGTTATTTCTTTGGCAAACTTAATCATTATGAAACTTCTAATTGCTGAATAAGTTAGCAATCTGATCCCTCATATCCATGGTAATAATGTCTATAAGTTAGCAATACAGAATAGTTTAAAATTGTAACAAAAAGCTTATAAAACGATGCTAAAATTTTATTTAAAAAACTACATTATGAAATACATTTTTAAAACTGACATTTTATGAAATACGAATATGAATATTGTTATCCTGATTAATGCTTTTGAAATATTCTCTGAGGCTATTAAAATTCATGTTACATTTTTATTTACTCGTTGCCTAAAGTCAAATAATGTCGATAGTTCCGAATGCCCGCATGGGAGATGATAAATGACACAGAACGTTCACGTAAGTTGACATAGATATTTATATTAATTAATAGTTACTTTGATACTGGAATGATGCGTCAGAAACATTTAAATAAAATTTATATTTCTAGTCAAATAAATTTGTTTTGACATTTTCCTTACATTTTGAGATCTTTTGAGATTTTAAATACTAAAATTAAAGTCTTTTTGATTTCTTCTCTTCTGCCACAAGTGTTTTCTATCTCTAGAAGAAGATATTGTTTAAAATTAGCATTTTTCATTTACGGCAATTAGCTTTAAAATTTTTACTTCATAATCAAGTTAATTTTATGTACTAAACTTTTGTGAGCTTATGTTTTTCTAAAGTTTTTCTAAGTTTCGTTAGTTATTGAGTGTGGAATTTCAGAAGTAACTCTTTTTTTGTGGATTTCGTCAATTAATTAGAATAATTAGAAATTGTTATTGGTATAATCCTGCTTAGACCTACAATTGAATAACTATTTCAATTTACAGATTCCGATTCAGAAATGGGAACTGCTTTGGAGGATGGATACATACCTGACAGAATATACGTGCATCAGTTAAACTTAACGTAAGTATATTTATAAGATTTATCGTTTTAAAGTAAACTTTTTTGTGGTGATAAAACTTCATGCTTACTAAACTAGGTGCACAGAAGTAACAAATACAATAATTCGCAATCGTCTGGAAATTATTTCTTATGCCTAGATAATAATTTTGATATTATTTTCTTTAACAACCATAAAAATAACATGAATCATAAAAATCTGAGCTTTATTAAAAAAAAATAAAACGCATCATTTCCATTCTGACAATTTGTATTGAAGTAGAAATTTTGATATCTAAGAATTTTTGTAACTGGTAAAACTAAAAAAAATTTTAATTCAGCTCAAAATTAAAAAAAAGCCATTTTAAAGAAAAAAAATTTAAGTCGTATTATAGTTACGTCAAAAAATAGAGATGCAAATTCTTAAAATTTGTGGAAATTTGTACATTTAATTTCTAGACTGTCTCTTGTCAACAAATCCAAGATTCGACTCACAGTGCAAGAAAAAATAAAAGCTCAATATCAAAGAGTGTGGAACCCTTTTAGAAAATTACATTTGTTAGAATTTTTTGCCCAATAAAGTATAGATTTCGAGAGGCAAATTTGTAAAATTAATTTCTAAACTGTGCTTTTAGTAGCGTTCAACATCTAACCATATTTTCATAAACAAACCAATATTTCAGCTTCCAATGCTGAAAAAAAGTAAAGCTTCGGTCCTGAGACGAGTTGCATCAGAATACAACTCTTACTCTCTAAACATATCCAAAAAATATAAGTTTCGTGAAGCACATTTGTAAAATTAATTTCCAAACTGCCGCTTTAAACTCCAAAAAGTAGCCATTTTTTCATTAATGAATTCGGAATTTTCACCTACAATATTAAAAAAAAAAGTAGGTTGCATATTCGGATACTATCGCATTATTTTGCGGAATATCACACGTAGAAATCGTTATTCATTATAACTTTTTTAAATACGCTTCCAAAAATTATAAGTTTCATTAAGAAACTTTGAAAAATTAAGTTCAAACTCTTCCTTGTTGCGTTAAATGTACAGCCTTATTTTCGTAAACAAATCAGGATTACGAACCCCAATGCTAGAAAAAAAACTAAAATTCAAATCCAGAGACAAGTACGCCTTTTCACAAAATGACATTTGACATTGCTATCCAAGCAAGTGAGGTATTGATCTCAATGTACATTTTAACAATAAAACACTTTAGTTCACTTACAGTTTTAAAGTCTATTTAAGTCCAAAAAATTTAAGCTTAACGATGTAAATTTGTATATGTTACTTCCAAAATGTCCTTTGTAAGACAGTTAGGAAATAATTTTGATAAATTTAAATAAATAAAAAAGATAATTTTAAATGAAATGGTTAGACGTATAGTCATATTATCAATAAAAAAATTGACCCTCATTGCTGGAAAAAAGTGAAGCTCTCATCCAGAGACTGCTTCATGATTTTACAGAATGACATTTGTCGAAACGAAATCCCTCCAAGAATATATACATAAATAAGTTTTGAGGTGCAAATTTGTAAACTTAATTTCTAACCTGTTCATTATGATGTTAAGCAAGTAGCCATATTTTCTCTAACTAACCAGTTTCCATACCCAATGCTATGAAAAAGTAAAGCTGCCGTGCAAAAACTACGACATCCTTTCGCAGAATGAAACTCGTAGAAACTAAATTTGTCTGAAAAAATACATGGATTTTGAGGTGCAAATTCGTAAAATATATTTATATCAATATATTTACAGGCTATCTGCTCTCTCTTAAGAGGACGCTCTACCGCGAGAAAAATGCTTTACGGCAAATTTCTTTCCACTTTTATAAGTAATTTAACATTTAAAGTATAGAAAAAGGAATTCAGATAAATTGAAACATTTAAATGCTGAAATTTTTTTTTCAAAATATCTAAATGGAAACAATTATTTCAGTATTGCTTCCACTATGTAATCATAAATACACCAACAATAATGTGCATTTTGATATTTTGAAATTTTTTTTTCGGCATTTAAAATGTCATTGTTTAATCTGAATTTATCTGAACTCCTCAATTTTTGCTATACTTTAATTCGTATTTACTTATGTAGATGAAAGTGAGAATTTGTCTTCAACGGTTTCTCCCACGGTGTAGCGTACTCTTAACAGTTTTTACTCCGCCTTTTAGAGTTACACATCATGAGCTTGACCCAGGTTGTTCAGAATAAGTGTATCCACATACCATAATAATGATTTTTAATTATGTAACTACTCATTAAAATTTAAATAGAATTATTTGTTTCAACTTAAAAAAGAAAAAAACTTAAACAAATTTTCACAATTTATTACATATTTCTATATGTGATACAGAGCCACTTTATTTTTATTACATTTATTTTATGTTTAATAGTTTAATGCAGTATTTTCTCAAAGCGCCATTTTTAATACATAATTTTATAATTCTTTCAAAAGTTATTTATAAAATCGTTTATAAATAAATTATTAAAAGCGAAACCCAGATATTACTCAGGCACCCTTCTTAATTTTGTTAACGAATAGAAAGCGTTATGAACCATCTATTTATAAAAACTTTAAATTAATAAACAAAATTACGAAGAGGTAATTTTAACTTTTATGTGATAAATAACGATTTATTCAGTTGTTATAGGACTTCGCTTTCAATTTTGGTGATGTATGAGTTCATTTTCTAAGGAACCGTAAGCTGTGTATTTAAGGGATAAAATAAAAAATCCGAGTTTAAAAAATTACGTATTAAATATACATTTCATTAAAGTTCATCAATCAAAAACTTTATTTTAAAGCTAAAAGCTATCAATATAGTGTATATTTTTCATTTGCAATGCATTTTATTTTAAATATACATTTGTACAATTCAATTAAATTTCGTTTTAATTTTATTTGAAAATAATTTTTTCCCAGATCAGCGGATATTGTTCGCCGACAAAAAGAGAAGGAGATGGTAGAGGAAGAAAAAATAAAAGTTATGGAAAAGAAAGAGATAAAGAAAAGACAAAAAGAAGAAGAAAGGAAAAGAGTAGGAAAATACAAATGCATGATCCATTTCTTTGGCTATTTTTTTTTCTTCTTTTTAAGTGTATGAAATGAAAGCCTCTTTGAATGTATTTCTATAGTAAAAAAATTCTTTATATTCTATCATCTACACATTCTGAAATATTTTTCTAAAAGTGTAAGTCATATTCATAAGAACAACTAAAAGACATTACATTTCAAAGGAATAAACCTTCTCAAACTTTAAACGGCATTTTACGTTTAGTTAATTGTTAAAATTCCGTTGTTAATTTTCCATAGATTTCTTTAAAAGGTAATTCAACAAACCGTAAGCCAAAATTTTAAACTTTAGCAAACTTAACATATTTTGCATCATTTTAAAGTTCAAAATGTATAGTTTTGTTATGAGCTTATTTTTTTATTAGCATTTGATGAATACCTCTCTTTTCAACT